GCGTTTGCGCATCTTGCTCGGCTCCTTCGCAGACGGTGGCTCCACTTCAGACTTGACGGAAGTTGGTCTCTTCTGCTTCTTCTGTCGAACTGACACTGCTTTGCCCGGCTACAGGTACAAGAAGGATCAGTATGGAACTTCCCTTGAAACCACGAGATACAGTTCGAGTTAATTACCTCGTGCACTTTTCTTTTTACATCTTGCGAATTTCCGTTTCATACTTCAAGGTTTACTGGGTATGTCAGTTATCTTGAAGGATAGTGCGGTTAACGGAGAAGGGTTAGGAAATGGTGATGGTCTGGAGGCACGTCTGCACGCACACACACACACACGACAGTTCAACCGTCATCGCTGACGATACCCACTGTGTGCTCTGCAGCTGGCTAACAACAAACACGATGATTGGCGCGTGAATTAATTTATAGTGAGGGTGGACTTGCACAGCATCTACCGCACTCTCTCGTCCTCACTTTATCCCGGTGTCAGGAAAAAGTCCAAAAGATCGAATGCGGGAGAGGACGTAGGTAGCTAGCGCGATCGGACCCACGCCTGGGCGTGTCACCACAGCCCCTGGTCCACGGCAAACACTCGACCAGGATTTTAACCAATAAAAAACGGTCGGGAAGATGAGGGGGACACGTCACTAGGCAACCATGTACACGGCCTGTATACCCAGCAGGAGCGCAAGCACATCCACCGGCATGGGACCAGGTGCCGGAGAGCTGCTAGCTCACAAGGGCTATGATTTGCTGAATTGTGACATTACAGACGCTCACAATACTTAAGGCCCACGCACACACTGTAGCACTTAATTCCTTCTTATACCGAAATGTCCCTCCCCTTCCTTTCTCTTATTAAAACCTAGTGTATTCCTAGTCTCTGAGGAGATGACCATGGCCAGTAAGAAATTCGAGATAATACTAAGCTCTATGGAACTTTTGAAACGTCTGTAGAAACTCCTAACTGGCACAGAGACCAGTAGGTTTGGGGCAGGATTTTCTGTGCCTTTAAAGTTAAACAAAGGCCCTCCGCATTCGTCATTTACACCACGCTGATCATATTACCAAACTCAAGCCTTCGGCCGACGTATACATTTGTGTCTGATGCGATTGGGATCATGCCTTATCTGGCTGGCCATAGTGATGCGCCTTACTATCCAACACCTACAGCGTCTGACCAGATGACCTTCAACTGCACTCTTCTCCGGCATCGAAGATGGAGCGTCGTAGGTTCAAAATCTGGCGAGTTGATGTCCTCTTTACCAACAAACTTGAATATAGGACAGCAGCGCCAAAATCACTAGTAAAATTCCATCTTTCAGACGTCTTTAGAACCATCTCAGAAATCGGAAAGTCTGGTTGTAAAGGCCCTTGGTTTTCCTTGGATTGTGGAGGGAGCAGGATTGGTAAACCTGAATGATAACATATTTTTGGCCATCTTTTAAAGGCTGGACAGGATTGTTAGACTGCACTCGTTTCGGAAACCAAGTTCGCGGTCATAAGAAAAAAAGTTCAATAATCGCTGTCTGATGTTTGAATATTGGCAAAGATTTAAATACCACTCTCGACCGAACCCAAGCCTAAATCTTC